GGGAAAGTGCTAAGTTAGTGCGGCTATATAGCACTGGGAAGGGTTCAGGATAAGGATTTGGGATGGGACGGGGGGAAGGAATGGTGCCCAACCACTTGGACGGTCGGGGATTGAACGCCGACCTGCATGAAGCGAGACCGTCGCTCTACCGTCCACCCCAAGTGGTTGGGCAATAAAGGAACTGAAGCCATCAGATCACGTTTCTTAATTTAAGAAAGTTCACAGACGGGGTCAGTGAAGAGTACCTGGTTGATGGGGTTCTGGGAGTTGTTCTACTTCCCAAGCCCGGCCTCGGGCCAGGCTTGACTTGAGTACTTGGTCCACCAGGCTATTGCTTGGGACGGCCCGCAGGCCCACTACAGCCCGGTTGGTTCGCCATTTCTTGCTGAAAACTATCCAGTTTTCTGTTGAAGACTTCCACTTTGGTTCCAGCAATATTTCTATCATAACATCAACATAACATATTATAACATCAACAAAATCAGGTTGTTCATACCGTGTTCTCTGTGCCTATGACATCTCTGTTCTTCACTGGTTCCATTCTGCATAATGGTGCTTTAAATTCAAATTCAGTACATAATTTAACTTACGTGATGGAAAGTGAAAGGAAGCTGCCTTTTTGTGTGTGAAGTATTGGAAAGGGAACTAACATAGGAATGTGTCTTAATGTATACTTAATGAGTGACACCTCTGGTGCAAGCGGAGTGTTAATGCCTACACCAACTGTACTCTACCACAAAGTTTGTTACAAGCAGGTTGAAGACCAACTGTGTAGTGAGGCTGGTCCTTGTCAACAACGGGTACTCTAATGATCGTGAGGCAGGTCCTTGTCAACAACGGGTACTCTAATGATCGTGAGGCAGGTCCTTGTCAACAACAGGTACTCTAATGATCGTGAGGCTGGTCCTTGTCAACAACGGGTACTCTAATGATTGTGAGACAGGTCCTTGTCAACAACGGGTACTCTTCATGATCGTGAGGCAGGTCCTTGTCAACAACGGGTACTCTTCATGATCGTGAGGCTGGTCCTTGTCAACAACGGGTACTCTAATGATTAAAAGTAAACTGCCACAAACGATGAGGTTAAGACTAGAGAACGTGTCCTACCTATTCAACTAGAGAAACTAGTCCCACCCTCTTATTACATGAACGTCTTACCAACAGCTCACAAGATGAGAGCGTGTCCTGTGAGACAGATAAGTGGCCCCCGAACTACACTAAACAGAAAACGCAGCTCATTATACACTACCAGTCCTTGTTGGACAACAGCCTCGTTTTCTTCGTGCTATGAGTAGGTGCCAAGGTGGCGGGCATGTATAGGTGGTGGGAGCATAGGGCCAGGGGAGCTGGTAGTGCACCTGGCCGCCCCTGTGTTAGGTCACGCCCCCTTGATCACTCGCCGGACGTGACGGCGCGTTCCGGCTCCTCCAGAGTTCTCCCGACAATGCCCAACATTCTTTTTTAACACTTGTGGATCATCGTCTTCCTCATCTTGGCGGCCGCAACTATTGTTGTCACTGGGGGCGTTACCGCGTCACGCTGTGAGGTAACGCCTCCAGTGGGTACCAGTAACCAAGGCCGAGGCGAGCTGTGTGTGTCGCACCCCCGACCCTTAGTTACTTGGCCAGTCACAAGGGCGACACAAGAGCCTTGCCACACCTGGGGAGTGTTCCCAGGGTTCTTCTCCCACAAGCCCGGCCTGGGGTCCGGCTGGTCTTGGTCTTTGGCGCCTGGGTTTGCTTCAAGACAGATGTACGAACACTTATTATTGGGGAAAAGTAGAGTATGAACAGTAACCAAGTTAAGTGCACTCAGCGGCCGAGTGCACAGAGTAGCTCCCGTGGTGTAACACTGCCCACTACCATTCTTTGACGCAACTAACCAGCCTAGATTGATGATTGATGAAGATTAAGCCATCCAAGAGGTAGCACGGGCATGAATAGCCCGTAAGGGGACTAACCAGCCTCGCCTAAACGCTTCCCTTCTGTCTTCATCACTATATTTCTTGCCTTCACCCGTTCATGTATCCTGCCGCATGATCCCCATCTCCATATTATACACGTGGGTACAGGAACAGACAACTTCTGACTCCTGTTAGCAGGCTTAGAGCTTTGCTCTCATATTGCTCATGGTAAGCTTTATGTTCTCTGCAACACCTCCCGTTAATAGGTTAACAACCAGGTACCCAGTTACTGCTGGGTGAACTGAGACGAACAGTTAAGGACCCACTCCAAATAAATTCTCCCTGGCCAGGACTCGAACCCGGACCTAATCACTCGCGAGGCGATTATTACCACAGCGCCAACCAGAGACATAACTTATCATACCCTAATAACCTCCCACAAGACACTTCCTCCCATCCCCACCTTGACACGTTCACCTGCCCCACCACGCTCCCGTACTTCCACTACCAGACTTCCCTGGTCGCCGAAGTCTACCAACATCACAACCACTCGTCTGTCGCCTCTACCAAAACCCTGTTATAACTTGTGGTTGTGAACATAGTTGTGTACTGTGTCAGCGTGGTGTATAAGCGTTGTATAGAGCAGTGTGAAGGGGAAGAGATGCCTCATTTTAATTAGCTTTTGTATTCGCAAGACTCACAGTACCGGAAGTGACTTGTGTATTGGTTTATAGCGTGGGGATAAAATTGCTGGTGTTGAAGCACGGTGTTCTGCACGTAGTGCTATACAAACTGGGTGTGTTGTATAGTGGTGCGATGCACCAGTGGAATGGTGTACTATACAGGTGTAGTGTGTGGTGCGTGGGAGACTAGGGGTGGCTTTGGTCTGGCCAGGACAAAGGCCGACAGGAAACCTGAGTCCTGGTGGTGGGGCGGCCCTGCTCCTCAACACTCACTCACTCATAACGGAGCCTAACAATTACTATTATGTGACTAGCGGCTAAGGGACCATTACTGCTAAGGGACCACTTACAAAGCATGGAATTTCCACTAACACATGAAGCCTGAACTGTTTCGTAAAGATTAACTAATTTCCAGTAAATAAATCGATAGATAAATTAACAAAAGTTTTTTTCTGTGCTTTTGAAGTGATTCTCAGTTGCAGTTGGGTTATTTATTATCAACTCACCTGCAGTTAGGTTGTTTACAACCACCCCCAATCACCATAATTCACTGCGCGCGCCAACTCATTGCATAAACCTCCTAAGGTTTCCCAACGTCAAGAAACAGAAGTGAAAACATCGATTCGGGTCGTACTGTCGTACTAAAGTGCCCTTATCCTAACCTACCAGGGGACCCAAAACAGAAAACAGGACAGTATGTCAATTTCGCGGGGATGTCAATTGAACAGGGGGGGGGGGGGAGGTATAGAAAACGGGACAGCCCGTCATTTTTGCTATCCGCTGTGATATGTAGTACACTACATTTGTGCTGTTGGGGGATTTATTCGTCAAAATGGGATGTACTGTTCGGGAGGACAGGTGTGCTAAAGGCTGTTGTTGCTTCTATCTCCCTCTGGTGGTGCGTACAGCTGTTATGCGAAGCGAGTGCTCTTCATTAAATTGCGTATGGGATGGTTTGTGTGTTGCGTCACTCCAGGTTAACGCACGCTGACGTCTACTTGATGCCCCCCTCCCCAATTCTTGACAGCTTCTTTGTTGTGGGACAGTAGCTTGAGGGGCGAGGGACCCGTCCCTTGTGCTCTCCCGTCCTGGGCATGTGCCCTCTGCTAAATGTTTTTCTACACTCTGATCCAGCCCCCGCCGCACCAGGTCGTCCTCCCCACACCATGAGTCCAACCACTTGGACAGGACGGTAGAGCGATGGTCTCGCTTCTTGCAGGTGGGCGTTCAATCCCCGAACGTCCAAGTGGTTGGGCACCATTCCTTACCCTCCGTCCCATCCCAAATCCGTATCCTAACCCCCCTTCCCAGTGCTAGATAGTCGTAATGGCTTGGGGCTTTCCCCCTGATGAAATTTTTCCCACACCATGAAGCCACTGACCAAGCCACTACAACTGAACGATGGGTTGAGACTACATATATATGTAGTACTGATTATCACCAGAAATAAGATATAATAAGGAGTTCAGTTATTTAATCAGCTCTGTGTAGTCAAATTAAAGGTGTGGGATATGAGGTGATGAGGTTCCCGCATAATAGCATTGACATAAGAAATGAAACAGGATTAGCTTAGCGGGAGACGTGACCAGTGAATGAAGAGATTAGTACCCAAACACACACATTATGGCTGTCTATTTTGTCTGTCTATTTTCTTACGTGTGAGGTTTTTCCGGCACTATCTTGAATGCATCTTAGTACTGACTTGAAGCTTTAAACCAATTCAAGGCGCATCATAGACTAGATGGATCTCCAAGTAATTTTACAACCAACCCAGCCTAAACTAACCAAAGGTAATACAACGTAACTAAAGGTATACGGCACCATATACTGTTATGAGAATCTGAACAAATTAAAGAGTTTTCAGTGTCTTTTCGGAGGGTCCGATCAAACTATTTACAAGACTTCTTTATTATTAAACGAACTTCATATTGAAATTGAACAGTATATGCCAGTAACATTTGCGTTTTATGTATACATTTTTTTCCCATCGAGCTCATTTGATCGTGATTAATTAGTGAAGTAAATCTAAAAACTACATCACTTATGAATGGTGATAAAACTAAGCTCGGTTATGGTACATCGACATAGCTGATGGCCCGCCGAGTTAATGAGTTTAGGTGCTAGATGATTACAGTAACAGAGTAGGACTGAGGACACCTTCCTGTTGAGTGCCCAGTTCAACATCTCTTGTTAAACTGCTATCCCCTTGGAACAACAGTACAGATGACTTCCTGTTGGATAGATATCCGCAGATCTATTGTAGGAACCACCCCTTCCCCAACATTCATTTTATAAAGGTGAATATAAAATGAATGGATTTAATTGTTAATCCATTCAACAGACATTTTAAGACATTTGTTAACTATTCAGTGCTGTTTAATTTTGTTTTAACCTGATTGTTTTGTGTGTTACAGGGTGTTAACCAGGACAAGTTGGGGATCTACATCAAGAGCGTCGTTCCAGGAGGAGCTGCAGACCAGGTCAGATACCATCTTTCGTGTTGTTCACTTCCACCCACGTAGAGAGAGAGCGAGCCGTAGTGCTCTCAACTGTAGGTTAGAATTGACATTATGCAAGACGCAGTTCTACCAATCTTCGTGCAGATTGGTAGAACAGCTGGAGAAACTACTTGTTGGGACAAGAAAATGGCAACATTAGTTGATAGCTCATTATGCGACTCTGTTAACCTTCAGTGGGATCACTGAACTTTTGGTTAAGAAAAGGCTGATTTCTGTCAATATAAACTGTGGGGGAAAGACAGAAGTAAGACTGGTTAAGAATACTTCAAGATGAATGTGTGGAAAACAAGAAAGAGTAAATTGGCGGTGAAGTCAATGGAACTACATATTACAAATAGGCTGGGAAGAATGATATCTGGTAAAGGAACATTTTGAAGTACAATTGGCAAGGTGGAAATGAGGAAAGAATGGCTGGTGAGAATAAAAGTTGTTACAGGTACGAGAAGAGTGCCAGATACAGCACCAGGAGCTGCATCCTTACAGGCTGCAAGTGGACCAGCGCAGTGACTGAAATATGGGAAATCTATGGTTAGGGATGAGTTGTATGTAGTTATCAAATGCAGATAAGGGAAAAGAATGGAAAAGCTCTCAGCCTGCTTACAGGAGTCAGCAGTAGTCTGTTCCTATACCCTCCTGTGTAAAAAAAAAAAAAAAAAAATAACGAACTGCATCTTTATAGGAAGTAATTAACACCTAGAATTGTATTGTAAAATTCAGGCCATTCAGAAGACGATTTAACAAGTATTATAATGTTGTGTCACACTTTTATTAAAGTTTGTTGATACAATAATAATAATAATACAGTAATAATAATAATAATAATAATACTGTAATAATAATAATGAAAGCTTTGCCAGAATATCCGAAAGGGAGAGTTTTCTGCAAGAGATGGTCTGTACTCGCCTAGTTGTGCTTGCGGTCTATCCTACATAATTAAAAGACCAGGGATACCTTAATTGTTGAGCTGTTATCCATACTAGTAGTTACTAAAATAGTTTTAAGGAGCTGCAAGACTGCAGAGTTTTCTTCCACTTCAGATGTAAGAATCCTGAAAATTAATTTAATGGCCAACTGTGCATCTTTAACAGGATGGGAGACTGCAGGCAGGGGATCAGCTTTTATCAGTGGATGGAAAATCTCTGATTGGCATCACCCAAGAGCGTGCAGCCGAGTACATGATGGAAACTGGCCCTGTAGTGACCTTGGAAGTGGCTCGACAGGGAGCCATTTACCATGGATTGGCTACCATCCTATCACAGCCATCGCCTCATGTTAACCGAGGTGAGACAACACATAAGGAATGTCTCTTGTAACACTAACAAAATTCTTGTAACACTAACAAGAATTACTCTTTAAGTACAGTATAGTCTTTTAATTTTTAAAGTTTCTGCTATTATGTTGTTATAACTTTAGGAGTACTGTACTTGTATTACATTCCTATTAACCTGCATCTTATCAAGTATAATAGAATATATAGCATGTGTACTGTCAGGTCCTTATGAAAGTATGGCTTTTACTAACATAGTTTTAAAGAGCACAATTTGCTTACTGTATTTTTAAAGGATATTTCCGTACTGAGGATTATTTCCACTTGTCAGGGATAAGATATTAATTTTGCTCGTACATTTGTCTGGCTCTATATAGTACAGCTCACATACAATTATTCCAAGTACTGTAGTTTACCAATTTGGATAATTTTAATACCGTATTTACCCTCAGCGTGCAGCTGAATGAGTGGAAACTAAAAATTAGACCATCACTTTTTCAAATGTTAATTACTGTACTTCATTTTACTTTTTTAATGCATGATGAATACACGCGAGGATTTCAGTAAGTTTTTGTTATTCGTGTAACTACTTCAGCAGGGAGCTATTTTGTACTAACACTAATGTTAAATATTTAATTTTTGTGTGTGTTTGCATGGAGGCCAAAATGACCATGGTAGCAGGAGTAGACAAGGAAATGGATATAAAATATATAGATCACAGTGATAGCAGTGTTTAGTACTGTCTTTCATAATACATTGGGTGTAGAAATACTGTCAGTGTGATAAATTAAAATACAGTATTTGCATAAGGCATGTGTAAGTGTGTGTTGCTTTACCAAAGGTGTATAGCTAACAAGAGACTGATGCTAAGCTAACCACTAACTGTTCTAGCATCCCTGCGGAAGATGCGTCCTCGGGCAGAGGAGGCCCCTCGTGCAGCTATGACTAACAGCCAGTCCACGCCTAACATGGGCGGGTTCAACGAGCGGCTGGTGGATTGGAATCAGCCTCCTCGCCAGCATCCCCTCCCCCCAACCTCCTCCCACAGCTCTCTGATGGCCAGGTCTAGCCCCAATCTGGCTGCTCCAATTGAAGGTACAGATGTGAACCACTCGGCCTCGGCCCCCACTAACAAGCCAGCCTACGCTCAATGCAAACTGTCCCCATTACGTACTTCCCTTCCTAATTTGGGGCCTTTCATTCCTCCTCTTTACCCTCCTCCACTCATTTCCGTCATTCCTTCTGAGCGGGTAGAGGTTGGTATTGAGCACCGCACGTTGGATCATACTCGCAGTAATCCTAATTTGCCAAAGTATACTTTTACTCCTCCATCAGAGACGAGCTCAACCTCTTGTAATGTATCTACTTCTTCATCCTCATCTACATCTTCCTCGTGGAGACAACAGCAGCGAGATGTAGGGCATGGAGCTGGATGTGCTGCCATCAGGCGAGGCTCAGGTCCACCTAACTTGATAGCTGACAGTGGCATAGACCTCAGTTGTCACATGCATGATGATGCTAAGCCTTGGCGCAGCTTAATTGATGTGTCTATAAAGGAAAATGTTGACAATTCTGTGAACTGTCAATATAAGAGACTCGCTACAACCACAATCGCAACAAACACAGAGCATCCTCTACCCCCTCAACTGGTTTCTCGTACCTCTTGTCCTCTCCTGCCATCGCGTCCAGCTGTAGGCCCTTCGAGTGAAATTAATTCAATCAGACGCCGGCCTAATTTGCGTCAGCAAATGAGCATAGCTCCTTTAATAGCACAGTCATCACCTTCCCTTTTATTGGTCCACTCCCCCCCTTCTTCCCCTACATCACAGGCGAATTTTCTGCAGCTGCAACAGACATCTAGTGCCGCCCCCATCGGTAACTGAGTGAGCCCCCGTGGCACAGTGAGAACCACTTGCTTCTCTCTGTCGGCACCCTCTGTGTGAACCTTGCATGTATCTACCTGCCTCAATGCTAATGCACCATCACAAACATGCCATATTGTATTAATTGTTACACACTGTGGTAATTCAAATAGCAATACTGTACTTACTTTTTTTTTCCTGTACAAGGTATTTAACCCTTTGGCTGTGTTAGGTGATAGCAGTTGTGAAAAGCAGACCTAGAATGAGATAAGCGACCCTAGTCCATATTCCTAAGAAAGTTTCCAAATCTTGTAATGCTCATCCATATTCTTTGACCTTCTAAAAGAGTGTCCTGGGCTCAGTAAATGCTGCCAGCAGTTGGCAAAAGAATCTTCAATCACCTTATACAGAAGCAGCAAAAATTAGCAATTTGGCCTATACTTCAAACTTTTACACTCACACTGCACACCAATTTCTAAGATGTTTTTGTCCACACTTAAGGTTTGCTATGTGATTTGAGCATATTATACATAAAACTCATATTCTGTACTAGTACTGTATAGGTAATTTTAATGTTTTTTTTTGTGGGGAAGCAGGGTAATGGGATATTTAATAATACCTTTCCTGCTGTTTTTCCTTGTGTACAGTACTTCATACTCTACTGATTTGCTGTGATTCTCATTCCACTCAAGCTTGGCTAGTTTCGATTTGGTAAATACTTTTTATACTGCCTGATACTGGACTGTTAAAAACATTGCCTTGTTTTCAACATTCTTGCATTGTTAACAGTAAAGCAATATGTCTGGAAAGAATCTTTTAAGTTTCAGAAATATTCCCTAGTTCTGTAGCTTGGTTGCTACATTATTTTGTAGCAACCAAAATTTTGCTGCATTCTTAATTTTGACTTTATTCTGTACAGTATTGGGCCCAAATGGTTTCTATAGTAGCACATCTTCATTCATGTAATGGAAATTGGTTGGAAAATAGTTTGCTTCACATAATTAGTTTGTTGACAACTTTTTTTTAAACAAGTCTTTTTTTTTTTTTTTTTTTTTTTTTTAGGAAGATATCTTTTTCTATATATCAAGGGACACCTACTTTAACAAACTTCTCTCCACAAGTATATAATAAATTAGGAATTGGGTTCAAGAAAAAATGAGCTTGCACATCTTGGTCTGCATGGGAATCGAACCTGGGACCATTATGTTGGGAACTGACTGTGCTGACCGTTACCCCTGCAAAACGATGTTTATATGTAATGTTGATATTTATATACTGTCTTACATTTGTGTAATGTTTGTGGAATACAGTTGGCTTCGCTCTGAACTCATAATTGGGGCTACCAGGTTTGATCCCTGGGTGCGGCAGGCATGGTTGGCCATGTTTTCTCTTGCCTAATGCCGCTGTTCACCTAACAGTATTAAAGATACCTGAGAGTGAGGCAACTGTTGTGGGGTTGCATCTTGGGGAGGGTCAGTAGTTTAACCTGGGGGGGGGGGAAGAGGACATTGATATTATCCTAAAGTGAATATATATACACATGCTTCCTGTCCCTGACAAAATTAATACAGTATTATTATTAATTTTAGTATTTTGACAGTTAAAATGCTCATCTTTTATTTAGAACAATCCATTATGTAAGAAAAAGGTTTTAACATTACTGGTATATGCTTAGAATTTTTGTAAAGGAATATCACGTGAACATATGCTAGTTTATCATTGCATAATTAAGCTAACAGGTTGATCATTAATTATAAATCTCTACCCATATGGCTGTTGTGTGGTGCAGGGGCAGGACAGGGAGACAGTCTTGCACGGTTTTGCATGCTCCAAGCACTTTCCAACTAACTCTGTTCTGTTATATTTGTTCCAGATTTTTTATTTAACTTTTTGTCCATGGATGAATTTTAGTCTTGAAGAGTTTCTCTTCAAAGAAATTTGTTGTGTTTATTGTTTACTTTATTTTCTGGAGGGTCAAAGAGTGACTTCCTGAAACTGGCTCAGGGAGCCAGCTACAAGGAGCATCTACAGTAGCTCCTCCCTATTGAGATCAGACCTTAGGAGTCCTGTATAGCCTTCACAGACCAGAGCTAGAACCTGACCCTCTTCCCCCCCACCTCCTCCTCCTCCTTCTCCTCCTCACAGAGGCACATGGAGCAGAAGTTTGTTACAATCACCCTCGCTGAGAAAACATCCAGAAAATAAGTAAAGCAATACAACTGCAAGGCTCACAGAAAGCAAAGCACTGAAACAGCCAAATCACTTCTAAAACAATTCACTCGGAAACTAGATCAAAGCCCTCTTCCCCCTCTAGTTATGGCTCTCTCTCATTTGTCCCATTTCCATGTATTGGACTGTCAACAACACATCCTCCTATTTTGCTCTCCAAACATTTAGTCACCCTGAGGTGGACCTCATCACATTGTCATGGAACCAAAAGCTTCTGTTATGTGGCTCTGGTCCCCAATCACTAGGCTCTTGCAGTGCATGCATTTTGGCTGGACTGGTTGAGGTAGGGGTTTCTCTACCTGTTACCCCCAGTTATCCAAGTTGGAGCCATAATTGGCCAGGGTGATGCCTGTAGGTCCTCAGTGGCCGGCTCAGCTGGCCACTGTTTCTGGCATTTCTAGTCCAGTGTCCAAACTTGAGCATTTTCACAAGGCTCTGCCTCTTTTGGCAGATTTGCTTAGTGTCGTATCTTGCTGGTCTTGTCATTCTCTGCCGCTCTATGCATCTGGGCTGTGACACAACTGTCACCATTTGTATGATGTGCAGGTTATTGGTTTCCTACCTGCATCTTCTGTTGATGCTACAGTATGGAATTTCTTAGTGCTCCTTTCATCTCCGTGTCTTTTCTTCATGTTTCTTGTGTGTCCGTTCTAGTGATTTGTCTCGTTATCTTAGTTGTCTGTTAAACGGCATCTCATACCTTATGCTGTTGCTTCTTGTTAGGCTTTGACAGAGCCTCTCTTGTCGGCGTTTGGCAACACTGTTACCTCAGTGTCGTTTTACGAATTGTCTTGTATCTTCTTTCACCTATTCCCATCTCCTACTGAGCCATCTTGGTCTCTTGATTGAGTGTAGGAATCTCTCTCTCCTTCCCCCAGTTTTCGGTTACCCTTTTGGTCTGAGATGTGTATTTAAAGCCGTATTTTTGTTGGCCTTTGCTTCTGGTTTTCAAGTGGAGGTACTTCATGATCTCCTTCAGAAGAATAGGTTTTGTTCTTTTGGCCCTGGTTTGTCAGGATGCATCATTTGGTTGTGGTGGTTTATCACTACCTGCATGCTGTTTGTTGACCTGATTTCCTTGATTCCCTGATCCAAGGACTGTTCATTCCAGGTTATCTGCTGGGTTATTAGTCTTCTCTCTGGCATATGAAGTTTGCAGCTCTCACTTCAGTGTTTTCTGACATGTCATAGGTTAATTTTTGGGCTACAGGTTTTGGAGGTCTAACAGGGTCATGATGGCTCATTACTTGGTCTTTGTGCCTTATTCCCATCGGGTTTGCCCCGAGTCGGGTTTCTCGTCCTGGTATCGTGTCTTTGTGAGTGAACTTTTTTTGTCCTCCTTCCCGATAAGTTCTGTGTTTTCCTTGTTCTCTCATGTTAGCCTCAAGGAGCCACAGTTTGGGCCCCCCAGAAAATAATCTCTTGGTTATAATGAAACACTTCTTTCTAGTTGGGCCTCTGTGGCTCTCTGATTCCTTCCCCTTTCTCCTACCAGCTGGGTTGGTTCATGCTCTTTCAACTCCAGATTGAGGCCAAGATAATGCGGAAGCCGTAAGCTTCAGTTGTGCTGCCACCTGTTAATGGCCGGTGGTTACTATGGTAGTGGGGGTGTTCAACTTGGTTTGAGTGAATCGTTTGGCTGTTTCAGTGTTTTACTTTGTTTGACCTTTGCAGTTCTCTCTCTCTCTCCTTTGCTTCACTTACTTTCTGGATGTTTTCATCCTGAGGGTGATCATAACAATCCCGTGCCTCTGTGAGGAGTGCCAGGTTCTGGCTTTGGTACTAGTAGGCCATACAGGACTACTAAGGCTAATGATACTCAGTAGGGGAGGCACTGTCTTGGTGAGCTAACCTCAGGGACCAACCAAGGCTCTACTGAAAAGTAGTTTCATTACGTTTGGTGCATTTTTTTTTTTTTTTTTTTTTTATTTTTATTTTTTATATGTAGTCTGCATTTAACTAGTAAATAGTCTAGTAATCACTATTCAAATGCAGAGATTACTTACTAAATGTGTTGTTAAATATTGTACTTAAAATGTGATTTGCAGAAATAATAGTCTGTAGAAATTATTTAGTGAGAAATCTGTATGTGACATGACTGGTGCTAGGAAGTAATTTTTCTCAAAATATTAAATTGGTGCAGTTTTGTTACAAATCATATTTTTAACAAAAGCATTTTTGTCAGGTTGGCACCATTTGCTCGTGGGAACAAACCTTGAGGAATAATGGAGCCCTCCCCTTTGATGGTTCTTTGTCTAGTCACTGCATGTTCTCTTGGATATCGGCAACATTTGCATCACACCTGTAGTGTCTGTTCATTAAATGCCACTGTTGTAATTATTTACTTGGCCATTTATAGTTAATAAGCATGGTCACTGTATTGTGTAAATGCATGCTTGAGTTATATTGTTGTAATTTACATGTGACTTCATGTATGGAATTTTTCTTCACTGAAGAAACTGTGTCTACCGCATTTAGGAGGTCATTTTTCCAATTTGCCCTTTTGTACTAGTTGTGCATCTTTTAAAGTCATACAATTTTTGGGGTGTTGGCATATGTGAGGAAACCAAATTTTTTAAATGGTTAGGCTAGATATTTACAAAATTTTGGAGGCATCAGATTCTTCTTTGGAGATTGTGTGATTGATGTGTGAGGACAAATTGTGCATTATCTCAGATTTTGCCAACATACTGTATTTACAGTTTGCAATGGATCGGTTTAAAATTTTGAGCTTGATCCTCGTAACCCAAAAAAAGATGCCAATATAAAATTTTGGATCTCAGGTAAACTCGGCCAGAAAGTTTTCCAAGTGTTAATATTGTTTTTGATTATTGAATCTTGTACATTATGCTCACTTCTTCACTTTTGTATGCACGCGGAGGTAATCTTCATTTTGTCCATATACAGTACAGTATGTGTTTCTAAGTACAGTACATACAAACATGTGGCGACTGCCGCACTTGTGGTTTGTTTAGCAAATTATTCAAGATATCATTATTCAAGTTTTTGCTTTAAAGGGGTTGAAGCACTTGAGAAAGATTTTACATCTTGGATTGGATGATATGAAAAAAGTTGAGCATTGTGCACTAGTTTAAAACAAATAAATCAACCTGTAAAATTTAGAGAGAGATTTTGCAGCATAAAGCTGAACCCTCATAATAAAAATGAATAATAATAAAATATACCAGGTAGTAATAATTATAATTTATTCATAGCCATGGCTTCAGACCTGCCATTAACTGATGGCACAAGTAAAAGATATTCGGTTATTTTGTCATAAACCTTTTACATAACATAATTGTTTCAGCCCTTGCATAGTTTACCGCTCCATTGAATTAGTTAACCAAATTAACCGAATTAGATGTATCTTTGAGAAATTGACATTAGGATTAAAATGATATATTGCATTACTTAGCTTTAAAAAATTTGTATTGAGAGAAAATACTCATGTTTAGGAAATGCTTCACCCTTTTACAAAGAGGCCTCTCGAGGTAAAAGAACATTCTTCCCTTTACCAGTGCGGATTTATTCAGAAATCGTTGAATCCCTCGTACGAGCTCTTTTCTGTAAAGAGTAATGACGACTGCTAATTGTGATTAATATATATATTAGTGCAGTGAGATAGAGTATGAAAATTAAATTGTATAAAACAAGGTTACAGTCCTAGCACCAGTTGTCACAATACTTACGGGGTTCCCAGTCTCTGTTGCAGAAAGAAGCGAACTTAAGGACCAAAAGCCACAAATTAATGATAAAAGTAGCCCAGTATGTATATGTTTTAACTTGTTTTGAAAGTAGCCCAAAAGTAGCAAGTAACGAAATAGATACCTGGATTTTCCGAAGTAGTGAATTGGGCTGCTTATACTGTAGCCCAATCTGGTAACCCTGATTAGGTTTGTGTGTATGAAACAAGCAAACATATATACATGCATACATACATACATACATACATACATTTTTTTATTTATTTATTTTATTTTATCAGTATTGAGTTGCATTTTATAAATAATATGCTCAATTCACTTTGTAAATTTGAATTGCATTGCTCAGGTTATCCTGGTGGTCGGCATTTGAGCGAGCGTGATCTTCCATCCAAAGTACTTGGGGAACACAATCAGGACTCTCCTGCACCCTCTCACCTTCACCAAGCTCCTCGTATGCAAGCATCCAAGTCTGTCCCCTCGCTGAATAGTAAGTGAACATGCGTTCATTATTCCTTCACTATCATTATCCTGTTCGGCACTTTTATTGCAGTGCCTGAAGCAGTCTGTTACAGCGTGTTTGATAAAGGGATTGATTTTTGTTTTACCCTTAAACTGTTCGGCTAATTAAAAGTTGTACTTTGTGGTGCACATGAAAGAAATTTTGTTCATGAACTAATATACAGGTAAAAAATATTGCATTTGGCAATTTGATTGATTACCTTTCACAGGTCCAGATAGGTGCAGTCAGCCTGACTTTTTTTCTTATAATATCTGAGGCCCTATGATAAAAGAAAGATTTGTTATGCATAAACTCTCTTTAAAAGCTGACCCTCCAGTTTGCTGTAATGTCATTTCTTTAAAGATGTTTAACCCATTTAGTTTTAATTGCATTTTCAAGTGATTTGGATGCCACACTCATGATATTGATCCATATTTTAATGGGGTTTCTGAGCATTTTTATAAATTGGGGTATATTTTCCCTTTCCTATACCTCTGATAGGTATCCTGCTTGTAGAGGTGCCTAGAAAATAATCTATGACTTATTAAGGATATAAGCACAGTCTTGATCTCTTCAAGGTTAAATGAAGTATGACTGGACTCCTTAGTTCTGCCTAAGTAAATGAGCAATTTTTTTGTCTTGACGCAGTTGGTTGGTACAAGTTATTCTCCAAAGTCCGTAGTGCATGTGGTGGTGGTTGATTTAGTTTCACACACTTTTATCTATTTCTATGAATCTGTTACTCATTCTTGCTCTACTTGAGTTACCACATGCAACTTATTTTCAATTCATTTATAGAATAGACTGGGTTGCTTTCCATTTGTCTTCTTTCCTCCTCTCCAATTATTGTAGTGATTTCTGATATGTTGAAGATTAAGTCTTACTGTATTGGCTTAACCAATCTTGTTTTCCAGTTATACATACTGTATTTGTTTTGGTATAAAAAAATTGGTTGCTTTTAGTTATTATTTTTAATATCCAAAATGTGGCATTTATTAGCATTAGATTCCATTTGCTAAATGTTGCTCCATACACTTATTTTGTCCAGGTCTTCTTGAAGGGCATGACAATTGTCCAAGTTTATCTTCCCTAGTAGTTTTGCGTCATCAGCAAAAATGTTCATAAAAATCTGTGTTCCTTCTGTAGATCACTTATGTAGACAATGAAAATGGCTGCTGCAAGAACTGAACCCTTTGGTACTCTACTAGTGGCATTTCTCCAGTCTGATGCATTGCCTCTGATTACTGCCCTCATTTTTCTACCAGAAAATTTTTCGTCCATGTCAAGTCTTCCTGTCACTCCTCCAGTATGTTCCACTTTCAAGATCAGCCTCTTATGTGGGATCAAAACCATTTTTTAAGTGCAGATAAATGTAGTCCACCTACCCATCTTTTTCCTGTCAAAATCTGAGGCTGTATCTTAGAAACTAAACTAAGTAGATTTGTTACACAGGATCTTCCAGATCAAAAACCATTCTGTCTGTCTTACATCATTTCTCTCCAGGTATTCTACCGATTTGGTTTTAATTATACTGTATTTTCTAATGTTTTGAGTACTATGCTTGTTAGTGATACAGGTCTATAATTAAGACCTGTATCTTAAGCTCTTCTCTGCTACCATTTTTGTAGATTGGAATTGTTAGCCTTTTTCCCACATATCTGCATAAGACTCCCGTACGTAAAGATGACTGAAAAATCATTCTCTTGGAACTCAAGATGAAACTTCATCTGACAAACGGCTTTGTTCCTACTTAGCCTTTGAGCATTTTTTTCATTGTCTTGAGACACCTTTATGTTCTCTGTTATTCTCTGAATAACATAGTGTGTGCATGCGTGTATGTGTACTTGTATACTAGCTTCATGCTAGCCAGAAAGAACTTTTTTAAGTAATATATTACATAGTGTATGAAATTCTTTACCAGATATATCATGTGCTCTCTCAGTATATGTTATTTGATTAGCTACCATTTTATAGTTAATAGCAAGAAACAGAAGTGTTCGATTACTGAAGATGTTAAAAAAAATTTCAGGTGAAGCTGGCAGTAGTGTAGGAGGGAAGCCAGCTTCTCTCGAGGTCTTCAACCCTTCTTACTCCCGCACCTCCTCTAATACCTCACTGTCACAGCCTCCAAATCCTCAGTTTTCTCACCATCCTCATCACCAACACCACCATCAGCAGCAACAACAGCAGCAGCAGCAGCAGCAGCAGCAACAACAACAGCAGCAACAGCAACCTCCAGTCCGTTCCAGGTTAGTAAAGCATGAAACATTTTCCAAAATCAATACTTCAAAAATAATCACTGGCATTGATCAACATCACATTATGATGGGAGCCAGCACAATATTTTTTTATATAGAGATACCTGTATGATCAAAAGGAAGGCATCCATGAACAAATGAACAAATCCACAAGGGCAGTGACGAGGATTCGAACCTGCGTCTGGGAGCATCCCAGACACTGCCTTAATCGACTGAGCTACGACTCATGCTGATGCTCCCAGATGCTCCAAGATGATGCTACGACTAATGCTCCCAGACACTGGTTCGAATCCTCATCACTGCCCTTGTGGATTTGTTCATTTGATGCATCACGTTAGTGTGATCTCTGTGTGTGATCCATGAACAAATATACCAAAATGATCATTCAGTGAAGGTCTTCGTTGACTCAAGTGCAAAAGTCATCATGTGATGGGAGGCCACGGGTGAGGGGGTTGGCCACAGGTGAGGGGGTAGGCCACAGGTGAATATGTTGGCCACGGGTGAGGATGTAATGCTAAACGGACAACAAAATTCTCCCAAATGTAAAATAAACAATTCCCAAATCCCCCCCCCCCCAAATCATAAACTCATGCCCAATAAAAAATGCCAAATGGCCAATAAAAAAACGCCAAAACAGCAACAAAAATTTCCAAAAGGCCAACGAAAAAGTGCCAAAACACCCAACAAAAAAGCTCCAAACATCAAATAAAAATCTCCTAAACGACTAGAAAAATAAAATAAACTCCCACAACAGAAAAGTTCCAAATGGGCAAAAAAAATAAACAAACAAGATTATGGTATTGGTGCTATTTCTGACATAAATAAAACAATGGATGCAGCTCATGTAGTGTGTGAATAAAGTGGAGAGAAATGACTTAAAAAATTGAAACTTTCTAAGCATGAGGATTTGGATGATAATGTATACCAATGATTTATGCAGCATTTAAGCCTAGGCTGGCTGTTGACTGTGAGCATTTACAGTCTATAGCTGAAAGAATGGCACTTATAATTTTGTTGCCTTTGGGTTACCAAGACCCGACTGCTGTACAAAATAGTAAGTGAAGAAATTAATTTTGGTCATATTTTTTTAGTAAAATTATTATGAACACAATCATTGTTTATGCTGTATATATTTGTATGTCTGAATGTTCTGAAACATATATCATTTACTACAAGAAAGTTTTATGATAGCCAAAAAAAAAATTGTAGCTCAGATTTTGTACAAATCTAAGTCAGGTCTGGAATGATTTGTTTCAGATTTCCACTTGAGCATTGTGTGCCAGTATGTGGTGGCTGTGACTGGATATTATTTTAGAGAAATACTATACTTTTCTGTTGGTAATCACAAAAGAAAACTGAAAAATTGCCGTCACTACCAGAAAACATTGTACAGTAATGGTTTTTGTTTGATATCTGTAATTTTTATATACAGTACAGTAATTATATTAGGATATAATATTTATAAGATATTAAAAATGTGTTGCTTGCAGGTCGACCCAAAATCTGAGTGATGGAAGTTATCCAGGCCTTGTTGGTCGTCATCCAAGTAATCCCAGCCTCATGGCGGAAGAGGAACGCTACTATCAAAATGTAAACTTTCATCAAGGCACCCAAGACTCTCGCATGGGCTCAATACGAACTCGTCCAGTTCAGGCACTCCCAATGGGTTCTCCAGCATCGCAAGAATCTTCAGAACATGTGCGACCTGATGCTCGACCCGATCCCCGCCCGGCTTCGGCGTTTATGCAGCGAGAGGATTTAATACCTCACAGATCAGAATTACAGCGTCCAGCCTCTCAACGTGATCTTCGTGCCGATGCAAAGATGTCAGAAATGGCAGAAGAAGTGCGACGGCGAGAGGAGCGTGCACGCCTTAATGGTCACACATCATCTACTCTACCACAGCGATCCAGCCAGAACCAACCACCTCACCGTGTGCCAAATACCTTTCCAGCTACAAGTACTCCCTTCTTACCCGATAATTACAGTGGCTCACAGGGCTTCCCAAATCAACACCCTGCTTATCACCATACCACTTCACAACCACTTAGTCCGCAGGGGACAATGGCAGGGCTCCAACAAACACCTCAGCAGGCCCATCCACAATATAGTGGACATGGGCAAACTTTGCCGGGTAAGCTTCCTCCTCCAACAGCCCCCAAGCCAAAATCACAGGGTGGCTTGCCGGGTTCTTCCCTGTCTGAGGCACCAGAGAAACCCTCACGACAGTTTGGTTATGATGGAACTAATTCCATTGATGGACCTCCAAGACCACCCCCACCAGAGGAGGGGTATCGGGAATCTCCACCACCACCTCCGCCCCCTACCTCTACTCATCCACTTCTCCAGACCAGCAACCGGCCAGCTTCTGGTGTAAGCCAGTTACCTAACAAATCGGCCTTCAATAAAACCAGCCCATGGGATAGAGAACAGAAGGAACTGGTAAGATTTTTATATACACATTATATTTTATATTTTTTTGCATTATTATAGGTACAGCATTAATGCATTTTATCATAAAAGTAAAGGCAAAATTTATTCTAAAATGTTTTGCTCTGTTTAATTCCATGACCCATTTCTTGGTACAATATTTACATAGGTTTCTCTGCTTAACTTTTTATCCTCTCATTTGAAAAAATTGATTAATAATGTGAGAATAGAGGAAACTGAAGGAAACCTATGTTCTCTCCATATTTACCAGTAAAATTTATCAACAAAATATAGTCCCTTGATTACAATAGTTAACTTTTTATCATATGTTATAACTGGAAAATAGAGAGAGGAACTGTTATAAAATCTACAAACTGTGATAATAATTTGTTATGAGCAGTAATGGTAGAATATGCACAATGCACGATTTACATGTTTATAAACTTATATATATTCAGTGACACTGCATAAATTATAATACATACCCTATACCAATACATTAATATTAAGAATATTAATTTCCAAATATTTTGGCAAATTTTATAATTATAACCTTATAACTAAGAAAACACTAAACATTTTTATATATTGCTGAGTGGGACATCAACAGGAACAAACTGCCTATTGCTAGGGTGCAGCTAAGGGCCAGACCGAGAAAATATTAGTTTGTATGTTGGGGGAACCTACAAAGGTGGTAATATGGTATCTTGTAATTAAAGCATATTGAATGTTTAAATAGTTGGGTAACACTTTGTGAATGCAAAGTTTTACCCAAAGTGTCTATAAAGATTTTGCAGTTACAGTATACTGTGTTGCTTTTAATACAGAATTACCATAAAAATTATTCAATTTTTAGTGTTAATACTGTGTGTGCAGGAAGTTGCTTATGGTGAACTAAGTTTTTTTGGTATTTCTCTCATTTTTAGCACGATCGTCATCGGCGTGAGGCTGCTCGACATTGGCGTGATGAGCAGATTTCAAAACTTGAAAATCTTTCTGTGCGTACATCTCAGCAGGATGAAAGACTACGAACTCTTCGCTTGGAAAAAGAGTTTCAGCGTCGTGCAGAGGAGGCTCTTACAAATGATGATGATGACGATGATGATGAAGATGACGACGATGATGATGATGTGGATGTTTCAAATGACAATGAAGTTATCCTGAGACGAGGTCCAGAGAATAGTGTAATCAGAGACTATAATAAACCTACAAATACAGCCTCAATCACCACTCCTGGTCAAGAGTCTCGGATGAATGGTGGTGGCCCTGCTGATGAGGAGCGTGCAAGGAAAGTTGATGAGATCCGAAGGAAGCAACAAGAGTTAGAGGCTGCAAAGGAAGTTGAAGAACGTCTCTTGCGGGAGGCACAGCGTCGGCAACAGGAGGAACACATGCGCCGTTTCCAGCAGCAACACCACGAGCAGCAGCAGCAGCAGCAGCAGCAGCAGCAACTACTACTTCAACAGCAACAACAACTTCAACAAGGCATTGCTCCTCAACATCCTCAGTACCAGCATCAGCACCATGCAACCCAGAGACTTGACTCTCTTGTTGCTACCCCTTTCCATACACAATACAGCAATGGTCCAGTAAATGGGGTAAGAGGATCTCATAATAGTTACCCAGACCAACCTGGGATGAGTGAGAATAATCAGCGTTCAGACACTGTAACGGCTGCTTCCCAGCACAGCCCGATTCCTCCAGAAAGAGGCTCTTCGTACTCTATAATGCAACAAACGACTACTCCAGCACAGCCAGCAACAAATAATCGTTACAAGGGTCAAGATGCATCATCTACTATAAAGCGTGTGCAATTCTCAGAGACCACAACTGTTGATGCACACATTACTTATGACAATAATGCCAACCAAGAGAAAACACCACGACAGGACCCTAATGTAAGTACCGGTATATTTTGTATGAATATTTTTCAAATATAGTTTAACAAGTGTTAGAGTTCCGATGCTAATATATATTTCGGCAAATACTCGAATAGTTCTTGTTAGTCTGGATATTGTCTTAATGTCGATTCTTTATTTTCAAGCATATCAGACTGCACTTTCAAAAGGCAAGTGCACATTCATATTCAAAGTTGCTTTATTTAATAGACCCTAAACACACAGATTAGAAACCGGAATGTGAGCACAATACATCTCTCAATTCCAGGGGTTGATTTATAATGGCAGTTGGGGAATTGGTGTTTCTCCATTACAACTGTTGTCTAAATATCAAGTTAATTTAATGTTAAAAAAAAATGTTTATATGTGATATTTAAATAGATTTAATTGTAAATGATATTTATAGAATTATATATTTGCATGCATAAAGTAAGAAAAAAGGCAAAAAACACACATATCAACCTTTTTTTCTGGTTTTGTACACCTTAGAAGAGTTGGGGGGGGGGGGGAGAGGGGAAGTCATTGCATATGTCAACACAAGATACACAGTTTGCAGACTTGTGATGCAAGGTTGAGGACTCTGGTGTTCGAGTTAGATGGTTTTATGTTCATTGCCTCACAATAGTTTTCACATTGTGTTAAAATGTCATTGTTCAACAAACTTGAGCTATCATGCACGATGTCTCCTCCTCCAAAAGTTCACTACCCTTCAAGCATTCTTCTTGGTGTTGTCTTGCTCCAACATTTGCAGTCAGCTGTTTGTGGTCCAATGGTTCCCACCTTTGCTGCCCAAAGACTTCCCACTTCTGCTTTGATTATTTTGCTTGAGCAACTCTGTAGCTCATTTGAGCTAAGCCAATTTTTTAATTATTTTCATTTCTGAGCTACTCTTGCCATAGGAAGCATGCGAGTTGGATAGCTCAGAAATTGAACTTGAACCTAATGTTGGTGCAGATTGTCAGTTAATGAGTGAACTGCTTTGCTGTCCCTTTTTTTATGTACCCTGACTTCCCATGGTCATGTCCAGTGGACCCATAAAGATCTTGCATTGGGGGTATCATCCAAGTAGTCTGCTCAGAAAGGGTCTTTTCATATTCACTCAACTCTATTTGTCATATGTCTTACTGATAAGCATAAATATATACTGTATGTCTAAAACAAGCACAATTTTGTTTTTGTTTTTAATATTTTATGAACAGTGAGATATTATGGGGGTAGGAGACTGAGGATACCTTCTTGATCATTCAT